CCCCGGGCTTTTCTTTCTTTACTGGTTCCAGCTGGGCCACCTCCTTGCTTTTTGCCCCTGTTTCACAGACAGGCACGTAGCTACTGTGGAGCTCGGGGAGGAGAAGCCAAGACTCGGGTTGGGGCCCTGGAAGAAACATTAGGGGGCCAGGCCCCGTGGGCCCCGCGTTAGCTATGGGCCTGGATCCTAGTGAGCCACCTCTCGGCACTGGTACCAAGGGACATTGTGTCACGGTGGGTCACATCCTGCCAGGGGGGCCCAATCTCAGGCGGTGGTGCTGGGGGATTTCTGCTCTGCCCTGAGCCCACTGAACTGTGGGTATCTCCATGAAGCCACTGGGAGACGTCCTCAGGAGGTCCGGGCTGCGATGTCACGATATGTGGGTGATGCCCAGCTCTACCTTTCTCTTCCGCCCAAGTCTGAGGACCACGTGGATGTTCTAAACCGGTGTTTTGACCCTGAAAGCCCTGCACGGCCTGGGACCAGGATAGCTGAAGAAGAAGAAGAAGAGATTGGATTTATCCCCCGCCCTTCACTACCCAAGGGAGTCTCAGAGCGGCTTACAAACTCCTTTCCCTCCCCCACCCCACAACAGACACCCTGTGAGGTCGGTGGGGCTGAGAGAGACCTCTGACAGAAACGGCTCTTTTTCAAGGACAGCTCTTGTCAGAACTACAGCTTGCCCAAGGTCATCCAGCCAGGTGCAAGTGGAGGAGTGGGGAATCAAACCCGGGTCTCCCAGATTAGAGTCCGCGCACTTCACCACTGCACCATCTTCTCTCGGGAATTACAATCACGGGGGGAGAGAGGCCCTCCCGACGGTCCCATCGACCAAAGAAGCTTGTCTGGTGGGCACAGGCGAGACAGGGCCTTTTGGTGGCAGCCCGGTAGTTATGGAACAGCCTCCCCAGGGAGGTGTGCCGGCCCCTCGCTCTCGATCTTCAGGAGGGAAGTGGAGAGGCTTTTATTCATGACGGCATCTGGTTGGCTCTTCTGCCCACTAGCAGTTTTAAATTGTTGGTCTTAACGACTAGTTACGCATTTCGTCCTCGTGGTGGTCATCATCATCACTATTAAGGCCAGTTCCCCTGAGGTGGAAAGGCAGCCAATAAGTGGCTTAGGTAGAACATGCATCCAACCCCAGAGCGGCATGGTGGCGGGCGCCCAGCAAAGCCTCCCTGCCCCACCCACCCCGCCCGGGGCAGGCCACAAGTCCTGCTCACAAGAGAGAGGCAGGCCGAGTGGGACATGCTCCCTAAAACCGCCTTGCAGAGGAGGCGGGCATCCCCCTTCCCTGGCGCTCCGCACCAGTCTTCCCTCTCAGCTGAGTGGGTGTGAGCCAGATTTTTGCTTCGCTCAGGGAGGGATGGCTCCAGAGCAAACGAACTGATGCAGCAGCCAAACGGCTCGCTCACAACTTCAATGCCAGGAGCTCACAAAGTAGGATTTTTGCTCACAAGACTCCGCAGCTTCGCGGGAGCATTGTGTCCGCAGCAAGGGCGCCTCTGAGCGCGCACTCAGAGTCTTCACGGAGGCGGCTTCGGGCCGGCCCGCGCCCTCCTTCCAGCCTCCTGCCTGGGCGGCCTGTGGGTGGGTGGGAAGGAGGGAAGGAGGGAAGGAAGGAGGCGGTGGCTACCGCCGCCGCTGCTTCCCTGGCTCCACCTTCGCCGTCCCGCAGCTGGGAGGCCACCGGAGCGGAGCGGAGCCGCAGGACTGGCCCGGCGAGCAGAGCATGGCCCGAGCGGCGAGCGTCTGTCTGCTGCTGGGGGGTAAGCAGGAGGAGAGCAGGCGCGGGGCCCGGCCGCCCGGCGGGGGC